ATTCAGGTCATGACCTTAATGGTCCAGGCTTAGTATTTCAGATGTTGTGTTGCCCGATCTGTTGGGCCCTCAGTTTAAGTTAGCTAGTATGTTTAGTGGCTAACTCGATCGAATACAGTATCGAGTGCCAGTCGTGCCTCCCCTAGTTTGGGGCGTGACACCCGAGGCATTATAGGCACCATCGGTGTAGAGGACCCAGAGGTCGTTATGTGTAGAAGTGCGGGGTGCTTCTTGTTTTACCTCGGGCAATATTTTCGTGCTGAAATCAGCGATGAAGTCTGCGAGCACCTGCGACTTGATGGCAGTTCTCGGTTGGTACGTTATGTCGTGCTCACTTAGTTCTATGGCCCATTTGGCTAGTCTACCTGATCGTTCGGGTTTGTGTAGGATACCCCTTAGAGGGAAAGTTGTCACCACTTTAATGGGGTGACATTGGAAGTACGGTCTAAGCTTCTGTGAAGCTATGACCAATGCTAGAGCTAGTTTTTCAAGGTGAGGGTACCTCGTCTCGGCATCGATTAAAGTTTTGTTGATATAGTAAATTGGAGATTGCATACCTTTATTCTAACGGACCAAGACTGCGCTTACCGCAACTTCGGAGACTACTAGATACACAAGTAGGCATTCATCTGGGTCCGCTTTGACGAGTAGTGGTGGAGAGGATAGATATGTTTTTAGCTTCCTCAGGGCGTCGATACATTCATCGTTCCATTGTAACTCGTGGTCTTTTCTTAGTACATTGAAGAATTTATGGCACTTATCCGAGGATTGTTAGATGAACCTTGAAAGGGCGGCTATTCATCCTATCAATTTTTGCACTTGTTTTTTGCTGGTCAGTATTTTCGGTATTGCATCGATGGCTTGATTTGATCGGGGTTGAACTCAATTCCCCTTTGTGACACTAGGAAACCAAGGACCTTTCCAGAAGTCATGCCGAAGGTGCATTTTTCGGGATTTAGTTTCATTCTGTACTGCCTTAGTATTTTGAAGGCTTCCTTCACATGACCAATATGATTTTCTTTCTTTGCCGATTTCACTAGCATGTCATCAATGTAAACCTCCATTGTCTTACCGAGTTGTTCTTTGAACATTTTGGTGACTAACCTTTGATACGTGGCCCCTGCATTCTTAAGCCCGAACGACATCACCTTATAGCAATACGTACCTCAGTGAGTGATGAAAGTGGTCTTTTCTTGATCATCTTCAGCTATTAGGATTTGGTTATAACCGGAGTACGTGTCCAAGAAGCTTACCAGTTCGTGTCCCGTTGTTGTATCGATAAGTTGGTCGATGTGAGGAAACGGGAAAGAGTCCTTCGGGCATGCTTTGTTTAAATCGGTGAAGTCGACACACATTTGCCACTTCCCGTTCTTCTTTTTGACCATGACCACATTGGCGACCCATTGGGGTATTTCGATTCTCTGATGGAACCATTGGCGAGTAATTTATCAACTTCCTCACTGACTGCCTCATTGATTGTGGCATTGAACTTTCTCCTTATTTGTCATACCGGCGGATGAAGTGGGTCGACATTTAGCTTGTGTGTGGCGATCTCCCTTGGGATTCCTAGCATATCTGAGCGGAAAAAGCAAACAAATCGGTATTGTTAGTTAAAAACAAACGATACTCACCTGGCTCTGAGAGGTTGTAGCCAACATAAGCCTTTTTGGTGTAGTTGGTGTTATCTAACTGGACAGGGTTAAGATCTTCTACGGTTGCCTTGCAAGCTTCTACAATGTCCGAATCTTTGATGGCCTCTACTTGTATGTCGGGTTTGGTCCACGACATGGCTGATTGCTATGCTTCCACACTTGCCCCTTTTAGCAGATTTGTGTGTGTGCAATCTTGGGCGATCCGGTAGCTTTCTTGGGTGGTACATGGCTCACCTCGGATGTTGAATATCCCCCATGGGGTGGGAAATTTGATCACTTGATAGAAGCTTGAGGGGACCGCTCGCATGGCGTGTATCCATGGTCGTCCTATGACGGTATTGTAGGCCGTTTCCTGGTTCATGACGTGGAATGTTGTTTCCAAGGTGACCCCTCCTGCCATGACAGGTAAACTATTTCTCCAGATTTCCGCTCTACTGCATTATTAAAACACGTTAGTGTTATGCAATGTGGTATTATTTTATCCTCGAGCCTCATTTGCATGAGAACTCGTGGGTGAACAATACATGTACCGCTTCCGTCATCCACCATGATTCATTCTACATCGGTATCAGCGATGCGTAAAGTTATAACCAAAGCATCGTAGTGAGGGAAAGACAAACCTTCGGTATCTTACTTGTCAAAGATGATACTATCTTTGAGGTCTTTATACCGTTCGTGGGTGACTGTCTGTTTGATTTTGTGCGTGGTGGTGAACTTCACATGGTTGATTACCATGCCATCGCCACCACCAATGATCATTTGTATGGTACGAGCTGGTGATGGTGGCTTTGGAAGTCCTTGAGATGGGTCGCGCCCTCGAGCGAAGTTGGCCCTTTCTTTGTCGCTTAGAAGTTCTTTTAGGTACCCCTGGTTCAACATCCTAACTACTTATTGCTGCAGACCTATGCAATCTTCGGTCTTGTGTCCTCTTTCTTGGTGGAATTCACAGAAGACGTTCCACCTCCTGGTGCTTGGATTCGATTTCATCTTTTGCGGCCACTGCACTTTCGTGCCCAACTTCTCCAGGGCATACACTATCTCTGAAAGGGAAACAGAAAAATTATGAGCAGATAGTAGTGGAGGCATACCTCTTTCGTTTCGGAGGGGTGCAGCATGTCGTGGCGCGGTGTTCGCATGTCATGGAGGGGGCGGGTTGGATGTTCGGATATAGGGTTGATGCCTTTCACGATTGAAATGTGGGTTGATCTCTTCACCCATCGTTATGTCGATCTCTCCTTGTCTCGGTCTGGACTGATGTTAATCGCTGAAGCGGGCCGTTCAAGTTGTCCTCGTCTTCCCTCACCTGGGTGCAATAGGTATTGTGGATCTCTTCCCATGTGGTAGGGGTACTTCATGAGTCTGCTGAGCAGTTTTTTGGTTGACTTTGATCCGCTCCTGTTTAACCCATTTTGAAAAGCTACTACTGTCATCCCTTCTGACACGTTCGGTAGACTCATCCTTACTCTGTTGAATCGGGCCAGGAAGTCCCAAAGTCCATCGTCTGTCGTTTGCCTGACGGCGAAGATATCATTGACCCTAGCCTCGGCCTTCTTTGCTCCTGCATGAGCGGTGGCAAATTTATCTGCCATCTCTTCGAATGTCGATATCGATCGTGCTAGTAGTTGGGAGTACCAGGTCAATGCTCCCCCTATCAAAGTCTCACCGAACTTTTTTAGCAGCACAGACGGTACCTGCTCTTTTGATAGATCATTGCCCTTCACTGCGGTAACATAATGGATTAAGTGATCCTCTGGGTCCGTAGTCCCGTCATATATTTTCAAGTATGGTGGCATTTTGAAGGTCTTTGGAATAGAATGTGGAGCAGCCCCTTCGTTGTATGGTTGTTCGACGAATCGGCCCACATCGCATTTTGGTAATAGCCTCGGAGTGCCTGGTATTTTGTCAACCCTCTCCTGATGTTCCTTCATTTGGTCACGGAGCGTTTTGTTCTCATTTTCCATTTCTTCCATTTTCTTTAAGATGGTCATGAGTGCATCGTCACCTGCATCAGTAACAGTGCGGGTATTACTTGTTCGTGTAACGCTCGGCTCATCGGCGGCAGCTGCGATTTCTGTAGGTGGCACGTCTCCGATATTTCCTTGAGTGGGTTTCTCGAGCATGTTGCTCAAAGCACTCGTTAACCATTATTCGAGCAGCCTTTTGACTGTTGGCGGTGCTTTCCCCGTTGTGGATGTTGAGGCTCCTCTTTTGTGCAAGATCGTTAGATCCCCATGTGGAAGAGGTGAGATCTCCCCCTCTAGTGTAGCACTTGGTGTTGTATTCTCATTGTTTTCTCTGCCGACTTCGTTGAGGGAGTTCAAGAGATTATTCGAGACATCTACTACCCCTTTAGCCTCGCTTCCTTTCCCGTCATCGTTGGTTTTTATAAAGTTTGAAGAAAAGTAATTATCACCTTCAGGAATCTGGATGAGAACTATGATTTCAGCTATAGAAATCCCCACAGACGGCGCCAAATTATTTGACTCAAAAGATGTTAAGACTTTTTTGAACAAATCAATCAAAGATGAAGGGGTAAATCGTAGCTAAAGATAATACTCTCTAGAATAATAATCGGTAAGGAGAAGAGAGTTGCAAAGTTTCTTTTTATTCAAGATTGGAAAGCTTCCCAGAGTCTCCACACCCCTGACAAGGTCTTTTGTTTCCTTTATATACTAGAGAAAAACCCTTCTGAATTGTAAGAAACCAAATACAAGGAATATGCGGCGAAATATTCCTAATGTCCCCTAATGGGCTTACATTACTACAAGGGTCGTACAGTTTCTTCTTTTGCCTTAAGGTCGTCTCCCTTGGGGCGTCGATTCGAAGGTACTCGGTCGTTTGTCGTGCTCGTCATAGGTCGGGGTCGGTCAAATTTGGACCCATACAATAAAGTCAGCATAAAAGTATTTTTTCAGTTCTAGATTGTGCATGTTGATTAACATCAAAACCATTGCAAAAGAGATGAATAGCCATATGTTGAATAGCAAATGAATTCTCAAAACCATAGACATATGTGTCCTTCACAAGATTTTCTTGTGAACCCATGTATCTAAGCTGCTCTAAACCTCATCATATTATGTGAACAATTCTTGTTACATCTCACAGCTCTTTGGTGCTGCAAGATGGCCATCACTGATACCCAGGCAACATATTAAAGGGGGACTGAATGCTTGAAAAGATTTGAGGATTATAGTTTTCAGGTACTGTTGCTTTGTCCAAAAAGTGCTCAGATATACTATATCGCAAAGTTCAGGAACCCAATGTGAGAGGCAGAGAACTACCAAAAGTTGTTGATACAATAAAATAACTTCATGCTCAGTGGCGGATCCAGGATTTTAAAGTCGTGGGTGCTCACTGATAAAAAATTTGAAAGAAGAGGAAAAAAGAGTTTAGTTATGGGTGCTCAATCAATATTTATCTAAATATTTTTATAATTACCTATACAAATTTACAAAATCTTGTCAAAAATAATGGGTTCTTGAGCACCCAAAATCAGCATGTAGATCCGCCCCCGTTCATGCTTAAGAGATGAACAATGATTTATGTACTAAGGGACACCTTGAACCATTTCATATGGTCTCAATCATGCACCTCAATCTTCATTTGTCTCGGCAGTTCCACTTTAGTCACTCCTATCTGCAACTCCTTTACAAGTTACATACAACATAGAGAATTCTTCTAAACATAAAATCACTTTTAAAACTATGAATACTTGCACATATAAGAATTCATGCGCATTAAAAAACTTATCCCACAATTAGATCAAATGTCTACAGGAAGGTAAATAAACAATGTCATATTAGAGTTAGGTACTCAAATAATAGAGCCATAGTAGATGAATTCTGCACCGACGGTTCACAATTTTTTTAGAAAAATAATCAACCACATAGTTATTCACAAAGTATTATATTATTTTATACATATACCGTAACTTGCAAGTAAATCCATTCTCTCTCAAAAAAAGAAAATTCAATTCACATCCAAGTTCTTCATAAAAAATGACATAGTAATTCGTGAAGCAATCAAGATAATGATATTGCATTACAACTCAAAAATATTCAAATACTACTATCGCAAATTTTGGGGTAACCAAACTCTGTTTTAATTAGCAAAAATATTATTTAACAAATGAACTCAGTAACATAGTATTCCATAGTTTTCAAATCAAGGATCATAGGTAGAAAATGAGAAATTTACCCCTAACAATTAAAACAGACAAGCATCCCAACAAATTAGATATTTTCAATCAGTAAGTTTTTTCAAGGAAAAATATCTCCATCTCTCATTACTGATCTAAAAAAGAACATGACTCAACATGAGTAATGTCAGTAAATGCACATTAAAAGAGATCAATCATGTTTCCGAATTGGATGGTACACCAAAAATCAAAATTCTAAGTTGATTCCCTTGAAAAGCCAATATGATGCCCACTTTAGCTATTCGATAATATTGATCTTACAAATCATTACAAGAATGATATTTTTATATTACTCACCCTTCAGTTATTGTTTTCTTTTTTAGCCGAGGAACTGCCGTTGTTACACTATTTCCTGAATTTCCACCGCCGCATAGTTACAGAAAAATTATTTGATTCATAACCATCATAAAAATATGCTCCAAAATGAGGGAAGAAATACACTATTTAGCCTCTTTTTTTAATATTTCTCTACCCCTATTCAGCATGTCTTTTCTCTTCAGCAAAAGTTATAGCAAACAAAAAAGGAAAAAAGTTGCATTTTACCTTACCATCATCTTTACACATCAGATTTTCCTCCTCCATATCTTCTCCTGAATTCTCATTGTTCTATCAAACAAAATCATCAGAAAAATACTTCCTTTTGTTGATGCACATGCTATAAATGTTGGAAGCACCGATTACAGATGTTATTCTCCTTTTTCACTTCTTTCTTCTAAACATAAATCCAACTGTTATGACAATAAAGTTTCACCGGGAGAATAAAGTTTCACCCGGAATCCCCATGCTCGCGATTATTGCTTCGACGTATGTGGCCCAAAGAGGGAAAACCCAATGTAAGGGTTGAGATTAAAAAATTGAAACATGAATTTAAATACAGAGATATATGAAGACAAAGACTCTGTTCATTGTTGATTTATGTCCGCTAGAATTTAAGGCGTGATAATTATTTTGAAACGGTTTTGAATTTTGAGAGAGGTGTCCTTTCTGTAACCGAGCCTTTTGTTTTTGGCGGAATAATAATCGATTTAATCTGTGAAAATAAGACGGGAAAGCCCTAAACACTGAGATAATAGATAAACCCATTCCATGTTCAATGACAGATGCCACGTCACTTTTAAGGGCCCTCTAATATATANTTATTTATTTTTCAATTATCTAACCATAAGTTCGTGTTTTCATAAAATGGGAGAGAATGAAAGAATAATTCTAGGAGGAAAAACAAAGAGACACCCATATGCATAATATTTATTGGTAAAAAATAAAAAGCTATATAATGATTTTAAAAGTTAATATAAAAAAGGTGTTTCCGCCGGAATTAAGAGGCATTAATATGCAATTTAGAATCAATGAGATTTACAGTTTGGTATATGATTTCAAAATTGTAGTATTTTGGAAGTTCGAAATCAACTTCTTTTTTACCACTATAACGTAACTTCAAGTTGAATAATTTTCTGTTTGAGGAACGCGAATGAGACAGAAAACAAAATGTATTCTAAGTAAGTTGCAATTAATTCTTTTTGTATTTTTCATTCCTTCGAACAAATGACTCTTTATCATTTTTTATATATTAAGTAATTTATTGTAAATATCAGAAGAGTTATCTTGCCTAAATTGAAAGCTTTTTCAAGGTTATGATTTCTTTTTTTAAAATAATTCTCGATTATTCGTATTCTATTATTATTGAATATTATTTTAATATTTTGAGATTTTCTCTCTATACTTAATTTTAATCAATCATTTTAAAATTTTCTCTCTTTCCTTCAAAATAACTTCTACAATCCTTAACATTCTGTCGCGTGGACTATTCGAGAGCGGATTCAATGTGCTATATATGATCAACATTTACTAGTTTACGAACTTTACTTTTTGTTAGTTTTTGCTTTATAACTCAACCATAAATTCTGAATTATTTAAATTATTTTTGTAAAGCATATTTTTGTTGATATATATGGGTGTATACGGCGAAATCGGAGGGGCCAATTTCTCATTGTTAAGGCATCTCGGAAGATCACCTCGAAGGCTCGAGACCATGGACCGAGTACCCTCCCTCGAGGGTCATCGACACTCGAACTCAGGATAACGATGACCATGGTACCCTAGGCGTACGGCTAGGACTGACAGAGCCTAGTGGACTACTCTAAGACCTGAATCAGGGTGTCATCTAGTTGTCACATCACCGTATCTTTGTAATTAATGTTTGTTGTACTATGATGGGATTCCCCTCCTATATAAAGGGGATCCTTGTCACTTTGTAAGGGGTTGTTGCTTTAGTTGCTCCACACGAAATATACAAGAACATTCTATTTGCTCTCTAAAATATTCTCTTGATATTATTGCTTTCATTTATTATCTTCATATTTGTTCATAATTTATTGCTTATCATTGGCCATAAAGAGCCTCCGTTAGTTTTATTATAACTGTTAGTCATATTTCGACTGCCTTCGATAGCTCACAGTCGAGCTCCGGAATCGACCTCGAGCCCCTGAATCAACAAGCTCAAAGCCCCGATAATTGGCCTAACGGTTTGATTATCGCCCTATCCTTAGTTCTCATTTCATTTCTAAGTCTCACATACATAGCATCAACTGCTTAACAACTGGAATAAATAGATCACGTATTTTTAGAGTCTCGTAATTAAATTTAATTATTATTACCATTTTCACGGTAAACAATTTGGCGCCCACCGTGGGGCTAAAAATAATAGTGATTATTTTCTTGCTGGTTTAGCTACACAATGCAAGTTATCTTTCACGCTTCTTCTTGTCCAAAGATCTTCGATTTCAGGTCAAAATGTCCGACTCAGTAAACAACAATCTGGAGAAGAAACTCAAGGAGATGGAACTAAACAGGCTTAGGCCCTTTTTCTCTTTCAAGGGGACTAGAGGGAATGCAACTACTGAGACAGCAACTCAAACAAAATCCCGAGAGAAAATAAANCTCCGATCATGGTGGGTGACTGCGGGAGATTAGAAAAAAGCCACTGCCTCGAGAGCTCCCAACGAAGCCAACATAAATCTGATCCGAATAAAAAAAATAAAAGGAAGTTTTGGATTTCTGACCACATTCTCCATAGGGCCCTCTTATCCCTTCCTTCTCCGAGCTCTGGTTATGGAAGAAGGAACCGAGAAGAAGGTATCAGCAACAACTGGTTTTTCTACATATTTGATGGCGGCAGAGAAGAGGGGACAACTTCTTTCTCCTTTGCCTTGCTCAATCTTCCTTTTCTGATTGAAAGTAGCAAGCCACTCTACTATTGGTACAGAGGCCAGATAGAAGGTTGCTCATCCAGCCCAGCGGATCCATTGTTTATGCGGCAGTGCAATGCAGCTGAAAAAGGGAAGCCNATTTCTATCGTTGTCTTTTTACTTTTTTCCGTATTAACGTTTTCTACAATAACAAAATAGTTATCTACTAGCCATGTTTTCTTTCTGTGATAATGTCGTAGCGTAGGACTCCAGGAATTTTGAGTTGCAGAGAACAATCCGAACTGAGGCAATATTTGCGGATTTGCTCCGCCTTACAGCCTTGCTTCCCATTGTAATTGTCATTGTAGCACGTGTGTACCACGGAGAAAATGGCGTAGAAGTTCCAGGTGTTGGCGTATCACCGGGAAACCCTGAGAACGCGACAAAACCGATCCCCATGGACGCGGTCTCGCACGACGCCCAACAAGTCGATATAAGCTCGCACACTGACAGGAGCGTGCGTCAAGGAGATCCACAAGAAGCTCAGAAAACCCCAATTAGGGAAGAACGTAAGGTTAGCCTTCATGTTATTTTTGAAATGTTGCAGGCACAACAGCTAGCTATTGCTCAGCTGCAAAGTCACTAGAAGACTCCTAGAACGGTAGCACGGGGGACAGCTCCCCCAACCGAACAGGTACCAGAGAGATCGTGCAATAACGGGTCGATAGCCGACCCTGTCATCGTAAAAATGCTCGAGGACCTCACCAGAAGAATCGAATCAGGCGAGAAAATGATAGAAGCCAATGATAAAAAGGTCAAAACCTACAACTCCAGGGTCGATCAAATTCCGAACGCACCCCCGGTCCTGAAAGGTATGGATTCGAAGAAGTTCATACAAAGGTTGTTCCCAGAGGAAGCGGCCCCAAAACCCATTCCAAAGAAGTTCAGGATGCCAGAACTCCCAAAATACAACGGGACCTCATACCCCAATCAACACGTTACTGCTTACACTTGCGCAGTTAAGGGCAACGATATAAAGGACGACGAGATCGAGTCTGTCTTGCTAAAGAAGTTCGGGGAAACACTCTCGAAGGGGGCCATGATGCGGTAACACAACCTAGCTCCTAACTCCATAGACTCATTTGCCATGCTGGCAGAATCCTTCATAAAGGCACATGCTGGTGCCATCAAAGTAGCAACAAGGAAATCTGACGTGTTTAAGATCAAGCAGAGGGAGAACGAAATGCTACGAGAGTTCGTATCTCGCTTCCAAACAGAACAAATGGAACTACCACCGGTCTCTGACGACTGGGTGGTGCAGGCCTTCACTCAAGGTCTAAATGAACGAAACTCGGTGGCTTCGAAGCAGCTGAAAGAGAATCTGGTTGAATATCACGTCGTGACCTGGTCGGACGTCCACAATTGATACCAGTCAAAAATCAGTGTCGAGGATGACCAACTGGGAGCTCCTTGGGGCTCAGTATACCCAATCAGGCTCCTAGCGAAGGAGCCAAAGCCAAATAAAGAAAGATATCAGCCATACACCGAAGATAGAAGGAACTCCCCAAGGCGTAACCCACCTCGCATTGATCGAAGGATATACCGAGGACAGATTCCTCAGGGATCCATCAACAGAGCCAGATTCGGCAGGAATGCAGGGCCAATAGAGGCACCTCACTTATCAAAATATAACTTCAACGTCGATGTATTGGACATCGTGTTCGCCATCAGTAAAATCAGAGACGCCAGGTGGCCCAGGCCTATACAATCGGATCCTTCATAAAGGAATCATAACTTATTATGTGAATTCCAGAACATGCACGACCATAGGACCGAGGATTGCCACCAAATTCGAGAGGAAGTAGCCGGACTACTCAATAAAGGTCACCTTAGGGAATTCTTAAGAGACCAGGCCAAAAATCAGTTCTGGGAAAGCGAGGCGGCTAAGAAAAATGAAACGAATGAGCCGCAACATGTCATCCCCATGATCTTGGGAGGCATCGATGCCCCACAGGAACCCGTGATGAGAAGGACGAAAATATCCATCACCAGAGAAAAGCAAACTCGGGGGTACATACCCGAGGACGCCCTCACGTTCAGCAAAGAGGACACTAAGACCTTGTCTCAACCCCATAATTACACACTGGTAATCTTTTTCCTTGTAAATACATTTCAAATAAATTGTGTACTCGTGGATCTAGGTAGCTCGACCAACATTATCAAGTCGAGGGTAATAGAGCATCTCAGACTACTTAACCAAATTGTGCCTGCCACCCGAGTCCTCAATGGATTCAACATGGCAAGTGAAACACCGAAAGGAGAAATCACCCTCCCAGTCAACGTGGCCGGCACAACCCAAAACATCAAATTCCATGTCATCGAATGAGACATGAGGTACAATGCCTTGTTCGGACGGTCGTGGATACATTGCATGAGAGCAGTACCATCCACCCTATACCAAATGATGAAATTCCTGACAAAGGATGGGATTAAAATCATCTACAGAGAACAACATGCGGCGAGAGAAATGTTCGCAGTGCACGACGTGGCACCGGCACCAATACCTCTACTCACGAAAGAGCTAAAGTGTAATCAAATTATGTCTTCGGTTAATTCTGATTAAACAAAGCAAAAGACCGTACCGCATCCTCATTTTGAGTAATTGGGACATA